AAAGATCTGAGAGATAAAGACGTCAACATTGGCTATTCGGCAATAGGGTAGTGGTCTGAAAGCATTGACGTAGCGGAATTTATAGACAAGGCCCCCTTGGCAACGCCGGCAGCATCATTTCTGCCAACTTCGCTTCAACGAAACATTGAGCACTTTCAATTGATCATGGCTGTCTCTTCGACTCAAAAGACAGCCTCTTCTGGGCAAATATCTGGAGTTTCGAATTCCTTTCGATATTCAGCTATCGCAGTAGTTCCAGTCATCCTGGGATTGCTATTAATATTGCCAACTGGGTTGAGGGACGCACTATCCGGACTGCTTCTAGCCTCGCCGGAAAACCCCTCTGTGAGGATAAAGCAGGGAACCATCGTAGGGCGCATGGTCGATGATGGAACCTTTCCACAGCCACTTGAAGGGTTCATGGGAATTCCATACGCCCTGCCACCAGTTGGCGACCGACGTTTCAGGCCTGCCGTGCCAGTTCCCGAGGGAGATGGAACATATGAGGCATATTTCCTAGGCCCAAGGTGATTTCCTCTCTGCATTGAAACTTGAGCTTCAGTAAAAGAAAGCCCATGCTAAACCGTTACATAGATGCCCAGGTAAACAATTGGTGCCGTTTCTAGACGATGATGGTCTAGGTCCAGACACGGAGTCTGAGGACTGTCTTACAATCAATATCTGGCGCCCCAAAGGTCACACCTCGTCAAAATCAAAGCTCCCTGTGGGAGTTTTGATTCCTGGTGGCGCATTTAACAGAGGTGCTGCAAGGATGCACAATACTCATTCGATGCTGGCCTTTGCCTCTAAGCCGTTTCTTGCGGTCAGCATACAGTATCGCATTGGCGTTTTTGGGGGACTGAATACTGAACTCACTGCCCAACAAAACTTGCTCAATCTCGGCTTGAAGGATATGTATGTTGCCCTCGAGTGGATTCAAGACAACATTGCACTGTTTGGCGGGGATCCTGATGATGTTACCATTATGGGGCTAAGTGCAGCGGCACACGGAGTAAGTCACAGGCCAAAGGGTGTATCTGAAGCAATCAAACTAACAAAAGACGTAGATTGGTCACCTAATAATGGATGTGAATCAGCCCAAAAAACTCTATCACAAAGCAATCATGGACAGCGGTGCTCATAGTGCCAGAGCCATCCATCCCCCTTCATCTGCTCTGAACCAGCAACATTTTCGAGAGCTTTTAGATCTCACACCTTGCGCAAAACACAAAGATTTATTAGATCCGGAAATCCTGACCTGCTTGCGAAATCTCCCTTCGGAGGTGGTAGATACTGCCGGGAAGGAGGTATTCGCTAGATCTGATCCCTCCGTTAGATGGGCATGGCAGCCTGTTCTAGATGGCGATATCATCTCACGAAGGCCTTTGGAGGCATGGAGATCTGGCAAATGGAACAAGGTTCCCATACTCACTGGTTCTGCGCACAACGAAGGATCTTTTTATGTCCCTCGGCACAGCAACAATCCGAAGGACCTTGCTAAGTTTTTCAAAACTTTGCTGCCCCATCTTACAGATTCTGACCTTCGTGAGCTGGAGCGCCTCTATCCTGATCCCTCAACTGATCCCAAGTCTCCCTATAGAGACGCACTTTCCAACCCTGAAGTTGGTGATCAATATCGTCGTCTTGAGGCCGCTTATGGGCATTATGCATACACCTGCCCTGTCCGCCAAACCGCACACTGGGGAACTTACCACTCGGCATCTGATCCCCCAGTATTCATCTACCATTGGGCATTGAACAAAACTGCCACATTTGGTGCAAATCATGGTGATCAGATGAGGTATCAGACATACAATAAGGAGGTGCGAAGTATCTCACCTGCCCAGGATGAGGTGTCCGGAAAGTTTCACGCTTATTGCGTGAGTTTCATACTGGAAGGCAACCCTTCAGCAGTCACCACTGGTAGATATGGCAACAGGGAAAGCTGGACACCTTGGGCTAAGGGCCAAGGATTGACAATGCTTTTGGGTCAAGACAATGATGAGCGGGCGGGAGGATCCAACCCAGGCATTGCAGCGCAGCTGGTGAATTACACTTGGGCAAACAAAGAATGCGAGTTTTGGTGGCGGATATCAGAGACGTCGGAAGATTAAAGATTTTGTTAAATTGTACAAGTATCTCAAGCATAACATCCGGATCCTACGGCATGGCAACAGCTAATTTAGGTCCTAATCTGCTGTCGCTAGCTCTCAACCCAAAACGTCCCTTTGCTACCGTGCTACTGCGAGGTGCGAGAAGAGCGAGGAACACGAGAAACACGAGGCCGCGTATGAAGGCCCAGTATCCGCTTTAGCCAACTCAAAAGGAGAGAGAAATGAATAAACGAATTATTTAATTAACCACGTAAGCTAAGAACTCGGTGAATGAGTGCAATTATTGACATACGAGTGCTACATCGTGCGGCTGATGCTACCACTTACACGACCAGAACTCGACCAGCCTTGGTGATGGATAACACCGCGGAGTATCGAGATCTCTTCCTCTCTCTAGCCATGGAGCAGCTTGTATAGAGAGATTAGATAGGGAATCTGCCAATCGTTCTCGTTCGTTATTCTGGAGTTTTCGTAGAGTCGTTCCAGACTAACACGTTCCTTTCGATGTGGGCGAACCTGGACAGGCAGGACAAAACTTTTCTCTAAATAGGAGATTAACAGCTCATTGGGCCTTATCGACGGAAATGCTCCATATCGGCAATTCAATTGCCTTCTATTACGTAGTTTCACTCCCTTTCTACACAATGAAGGGAGGTCTTGCACCAACCTGGGACCAGGGCCTCGGAATTCGGCACATCGGGAGCATCGTAAGATTCCCGAAGTTCGGCATAATCAAGGGGTCGAGATCCATTAAACACCATGGGCTTAGAACTTCACAGGATGGCTGCCGTCTTTGGAATTTCCCTAGATGGTTCCTTGTAAATATACAATTTTCCACTTCAATTTTCTATTGATAAGAGTTGGACGCCATCGCCTACGCTCACTTTACTTTCCCCCCCATGTCTCCCTCTCTCTCTTTTTCCTTTATCAGCATCTATAGAAGAGCATTAAACGCAGTTTCAGACTCAAACATCACTACGCGAGTCTTATTGCTCACTGAGAAAGTTATCCTCTTTTCCTATCCCTTTTATACTCGCTCTCTACTTTGCTCCGTCCATCATGTCACCATCTTCCCCCCGTTCAGACAGCTCGAACACAACTGGCTCCTTCAAGCTGTACCATTATGATCCTAATCGCGGGGCCGCTGGCGCTTTTGTCGCCCTCTTCATTCTATGTACCATTGTGCACTTGTACAGACTGGTAAGAGGCAGGACATGGTTCTTCATTCCATTTATCATCGGTTTGGCGTGTAAGCAAGTTTCTATTTTTCTTCCTAGCAGTTTCTTCACCGCCATGAATCAAAGCAGCTGACCATATCTGTAACAGTTGAAGCAGCAGGATATGTGGGAAGAAATATATCGGCAGGAGAAACGCCAAATTGGACTACGGGTCCATATATCCTTCAGAGTTTGACGTTGCTTCTTGGTCCAACACTACTAGCTGCGTCTATATACATGGCACTGGGTCGTCTAATACGCCTCCTCAATGCCGATCGGCACTCACTCATTCGGACTACATGGCTGACCAAAGTCTTTGTCCTTGGCGATGTGCTCTCTTTCTTAACACAATCAGGAGGTTAGTCGTTTGGTATTATAGTGAATAACCGGCCAAGACGTGGCAAGGAGCAATTGGCTAATTGGTCACATTATACAGGAGGCGGTATGCTTGCAAATGCTAAAACCCAGTCTGATATGTCCATGGGCGAGAACATCATCATGGGCGGTCTCTTTATCCAGATCATCTTCTTCGGCTTCTTCATCATCGTCACTTACATCTTTCACCGCCGTATTATGCTGTCGCCCACCCCAACCAGTCGTTCTATTGAAGTTCCTTGGCTTCGATTTCTTTACGTCATGTATGCTGCCAGCGTCCTCATCATGGTTCGGTCCATTTTCCGCGTCGCTGAATATGCTGGGGGATATTCTGGCCCATTGCAATCGTCCGAAGCTTACATATACATTTTTGATGCCACACTCATATTCATTGTGGCTGTTTTGTTTGGAGTTTGGCACCCAGGGAGTATGATGATAGCAAAGGGGAAAGGGGCTATACCATTGTCAGACGGTGAGAGCAACCTGTATGGAAGCCCAGCCAGTTTTGGGGCTTAAGACAATGCAAAATCTTGCCAGCCTGCCCATTTTGCTAGATTTATTTCTTTCTATCTTCAGCCATCATAGAATCACGGGCATCCAAGAACCTAGCTTAACTCTAATAACTTCCTTGTTTTACTTTACATAATACAAACATCCTTGGAACAGCAGATACCCAACTCTACTCCTTCTAAGTCACGGATGGATATAATCAAAGCTTCGAGTAAGATATTGTGCTTAAACAGCCCGCTTTCTGTCTAGCTTCTTCTATTTAGAGTCTTTCTATACACGGCTATTCTTGAAACTGGCGGGGTGAAGGTTCTCCTCACCTCTGCGCAATTTCTGACAGTGACCCAACGCAGCAAGGGTGACAAGCGCTAGGTGATACCGGATTTAAGACGCGTCAACTCTCATTGACAGTTACATAAATACGATATAAATACATCCCCGTTTGAGGTACAACCAGCACTTGCCATCTTGGGAAAACACATGATAGTATATGTGCTACAGGATCACTACCTGAGGCATTGCTCCAATGGACAACAGCCAAGCCCCTGCGGCTCTCAGCGAACATCTCGGTCGCCAACCGCCAGCTCCCTCCACTTCGGACATTGAAGAAGGAAGAAGAGAGGGCAGGGGCTGTGACCTGCTCACACGGCCTAAATGCTGACAGTTTATCTCCTTTGGTTTAACCCTTACTAAGCGGGGTTGACGGCTTGAAATACATTAGTTCTCCTTGACCCAATGCGCCAGCTTCAAACGCTTACCTCAATTCATTTTCACAACTTCTGCAATCATGTCTCAGGCAGCACAACAGCTCTTCGAATTTAAAGGCACGTTCATTGAGAACCTGCACGTGCTTTCTAACGGAAATCTCCTCCTCAGCACCTTGAAATCTTCAGGGCTTCTTTATACGCTTGATCTGAAGGAGAAGGAGCCCACGCCGAAGGCTATCACTGGATTCGGGAAAGCCACTGCTGTGACCGGCATCGTACCTCTGGGCGGAGATCGCTTTGCCATCGGTGGCGGTGTACACACGTCCTTTGCCTTTGAGCGAGGGACTATGCAAGTTTATATTGTATCCCTCGACACTCATGAGGTCGTTTCCAGCGTGCCGGTCCCAGAGACCGCCACAATTAACGGCCTGGCGCCGCTTCCTGGGACGACAGACGTGGTTCTCGGCGCCGACACAATCGACGGACGAATCTTTGCCATCAATCTGACAACCAAGAATGTTTCAGTGTTGCTGGACCACGCTACCTTGAAGGCTTCGACGCTCAGTGGATATGGCCCACCACTTGGCATCAATGGCATCCGAGCCTATAAAGACTATGTTTACTTTACCAACTCAGGAGAAGGCACTTTTGCGCGCTTCCGTGTCGAGGGAGGAAGCAAGGTTGGCGACGTGGAAATCGTTGCGAGGGCGCCAAAGAAGGGGCTCGCCTTCGATGACTTCATCTTTGACAGCGAAGGAAATGCGTACATTGCCACGCATCCCGGGTCCGTTATCAAAGTCAATACAGATGGAGAGGTTTCTACTATTGCAGGTGATGGCCCAGATAGTATTTTCCGAGAAGCGACGAGCATTGCCATGTCCTTGGACCAGAAATCCATCTATGTATCGACGGGGGGCGATTTTATAAATCAGACGGTCGGAGGACAAATCATTGAGGTTCAGCTCTGATATTTGTCTCGCGTCTATACGGAGAAATGTGAAAGCAACATATTGCTCTAAGGACCTTCTTGATTTGTCACTGGCCAATCTGGGCTCTACAGATACTATGGCCAGTCAAGTTAAAATACGCTGATGAATTTTCCTGCAACGAAAGAGTGAATTTTTGCTTTCCCATACTCCTAAACATGACCTTTTGAAACAACCGTTGTTGGGACTGCGTTCGACCCTTCTCCCTCAAGAAGAGAAGTCAAAGCCTTCTCTTTTCGCCTGCCAAGCCAAGATACTGAGCAGGCTAATTCAAACGTGGATTGACCAACTTCGTATGTCGGCTCCGTTGAAATTATAGCAAGCCATGCCTATCCCAACTACAAACGCCTCTTTTCCCCGGCAGCCCGGCTCAGACCAGCCAACGATATGCGGAGCGCCTGGGTGATATACCAGGACAGATCTTCCAGAAGGAGCACCCATGCAGTCGCCAGGATACAATGTCGTGTGTGTGCTGCCTCCGACGCAATTTGCATTCTCGAAAACCTTGATATAGTGCCCGATCTCAGCACTTGGTGCTCCGATAACAGCCGTAGAGAGTAGGATCGCGGTCAGGAGTAGAGTGAGCATTTCCAGTTGCTTTCGGTTTCGTTTTGGTCTCGTTCGAAGTGCGAGGAATAATTTGTCTTTCTGTGTGCTGATTTTCTATAACTACACCATCAATCCAGCTCAAGGGCATCATTATATATATGCGTTCCTGCAAAGTTCCACCCTCAATCCATCGCAAATCCGTCCCAAATCAAGATGTCGATGCGTGGACAATAAGCCCCATGCCCAAAGAGTGTCCGTTATGGGGTCACTCTCCCAAAGCTCCACCTAGGCCTGTCGCAAAACGGTCCCATATCCGGAAATGGCCCCGTTGATCCTATTTACCTACGGGACTTGGAGTGATAAGTCTAGCGACTTTTATCAAACGCAAATGATTGAGGTGTCTCAGGACGGGGATGATTGGATGGCAGAAAACTCTGGCTAAGGTTTATTTTGGTCCTGTATTAGTATTTAATGGTGTAGAAATAGATCAAGAATTCACGATTTAGACCTCCCCGACGGCCGCCTGCTTCTTCATACCTAAATGAAGATCCCGAGCTGCATTTCTAGAGGTTATATGACCGCCTAAGAAATCGTTTCTAGAAAATACCTTATTTCTCTTTTCTCTCTTTCCTCTCTTCCCCCGCATCATTTGATTTATCAATTGGCCTCTTCTAGCTCCTTAGTTGAGATCAATCCCCCAGGCAATGGGTACCCTAGCCATGGACTTGCGGTGCATTCGCGGCCTTGCACCTAAGCCTTTCCACCGTCTGATTCGGACCTAGAAGATCTCGAAATAAAAAGGTGAAGACAAAATGAGTGGATATGATATTGGAAGACTTTTGGTCGCTAACAAAAAAATACCAGCGCGCTCAAACGTCTAGGAACTGCGGTCAAAGAAAGTAACCACACCCCAGTATTAACATTAGACCTAAGAGAAAGAGAATAAAGTTCAACAGCAATGGAAGCTGCCAGAGCCCGACAACTCAACACAATGATTAACATTAGACATCGCTTGGAAACCGCACTTATCTTGACCCGTACCTCCCCAAGATACAACTGAAGATGTAGTAGCAAAATGTGTTAGTACTGGGGCTCATATCGTGGGCGAAGCTCATCCAGACTCATCTGTTATGGTTGAGTCACCCAAAGTGTTGACTATCAAGCACCTTTTAATCCCTGCGGCGACAGACATCCAATTGCTTGTGAAAGTAGTGGAGGCAGAGCCGCTGTTGCAGCCTATGACTGGAATGATCTTGCGTTATGCACTGATAGTAACCCCTTCATCTGCTTGGCTTGCACTGACTTTCCAACTCACACAGGCAACCAGTGGGAGGTCTCGCATCCCTACGCTCCACACAGGCGTCTTTGGGTTTCGTGACAGCACCGGAGCTGTTCCAAGCCAATGTATGGTAGATGCATTGGTGGCTTTTGGTCATTCTGTCTGGCTTGGAAGGAATGGCATAATGTTTCCTAGGATGTTGGCTGCTCTAAATAGCCTCCCCGGGAACAGCAATCTTTCTATAGAGTGAGTTTAGGCAATATGGGCCAATTCTTTTATAACAATGATAAGTTGATAAAACCCCTCTATGAATGTCATACCTTCTCCGCTATCCTCCCCTAAGGGCCAATAGTGGCCTAATGGCTCGCAGCATGATGCCAGATTAGCCCACCTCACTCACTACTGCCACCTTTTAAGTTTGAGGGCTTTTTATCGGGCATTCTTATTGGATTAGTGCACTCATCGGGCAAAAGAGGGCGAAGTGGCACAGCCACAACCGTCAAGCCTGCGGGAGGGGTTTGTTTCTTCATGGTCACCAAAGCACCCAATACCATCTAATCTACATCTGCAGCCATCTCGTCATTTCCTGTAGGCCATTCTAGACTCTACAGGGATCACAGGTAACTTCTCTGGAATGACGTGTGATCCTGAGTCACTTCCCCAGGTTGGCTCAGCAAGTGGAAGCAAGGTCTCCATTCGGGATGACGATGAAGGAGCCAAAATCTCTAGAGGCCCGTATTTTGGAGGCTATAACATCAATGAATCCACAGCTGCATCGCCACGTCTTGGTTGCCTGGCAATGACTGACATGGTCCGCCGAACCAATCCAAGCTTGAAGCCCCTCATCTTGTTGCCTTGCAAAGACCACCAATCGAATCCCTGACATACACTATGTAAGCCTACCATGATCGACGCATTTTTAAGCCTGGTCTGACCTCGCCGGTTGCTCTCCAGGCCCAACGAACAATACCACCAAAGTATCAATGTCTTCTCAACCAGCCGGCCGGGGCGAAGACGAGGTCCTGTCTGGCGCCGACCTGCCCCTTCTCTTGAAGGTGCAGGCGCCGGTAGAATACCTTGGCATCGGAGCCTCTCTATCCCCACATCGACGGGAGATCGCCGAGTCCGGATCGATGCACGACACTGCACGCAAGCTTGCTGCCCTGTTCGACGCCGTGATCCCCCAGGTCCCGAACCTGGTCGCCGCATACGGGACGCGAGCTAGCGAAGTCCTCAAAGACTACCGTGTGAGTCCAGCGGGAGCCGAGCATCACCTCGGACCATTTGGCCCCTTCACGGGAGCAGATGCAACCTCAATCTGGGCTGCGGCGACATCTGGAGCGAGCTCTGTTGCCCTCCATCTCTTGGCGTGTTTTCTTGCGCGCGCATTCGCGGATCCGACTCACTCTGTTTCCGCCTGGGTCGAGATCATCCTGGAGCGGCAGAAGGGAATTGTCAACTCGCATGAAGGTTCTGCAGCTGCCTCAAGCGAGCCCAGCGCGCCTATTTCCCGGGAGGAGATTCGTGAATGGGATGCGTCAGCCCGAGCATGGCTGCGCACGGCTGATTTAGCCATGAAGAAAAACCACGCACAGTTCAATATGATGCTCATGGATATCAATATATCAATCTCATGTGCAGACGGCCTATATGCCAATGTTGTTCAGTCATGGACCTATGCTATGCTGGCTCTAGAACATCTCCTCGCTGGACGTCCGCATACCATTACCGATGGTGCAATCCTGTTAGGCATCTCTTCCTGGCATATATATCCCAACATCCTCCTCCTTGATACCCAACTCACAGAGGTTGGGTTTTTCGACAACCTCTTCCCGGCGTCGTGTTTCCTTACCATAGACATCGCAGACAATGGCGATGAAACTACATGCCTTGGACCCTCTATTGTATCAAAAGGGGTCCACTGGCCAGCCGTTCTCGCTCAACATAACCTCGACGGTAGCTCTGTTGAGACAATAGGCGCCATTGACCGCCGGGTTAGCATCGATGAGCTTTATTTGATGACACTCGGGAGTCTCTTAAGAGCATGGAATACACCACGGTCAGAAATAGAACCTTCTTTGAATTGGTTCATTGCGCTCTGGAGTTCCGTCCAAAGTGCCAGATCGCCTCTCCCCAAGCTGAGATGGATTGAGAACATTGCCACGGCAGCCAAACGCCTTCTTGAGGCTGTCGGTCCGACCAAGAAAGAGTATCAACAACTTATGAACTTTGGCTATGATCAAGGTCGCAATTTCCTGGTATCCCGCTCTCAACAAGAAGATTGTCTCCCTTGGTTTGGGCTGCGCCACTGGCATATTCTGACTTCCCTGGGTGGACAAACAGCCGGGCAATGCGGCATTCGATACCTCCGTCAACTCGCCAGAGCAATGGAGTTGCGTTATGACGAGGCTATCATCACGGAGATCTCACACGAAAATCTTTCTATCGGGAAGAAAGAGTTTCATCAATATACTACAGCGATCAAAGTTCCTCTCGGAGAGCATGAGGGCCCTATCGATAGCGACGAAGGGGAACCGGGTGATGCCTCGCAGGACGACGATGGGACGGTGCCGGATCTTGTTCCCGACGAGGACCCAGTTCAAACTGCCCGTAAAGGTAAGGAAAAGGCACAGCCGTCTACACGCCCATGTTACCATAAACTCTGGGAGGGTACTTTCACTCTCCACAATGAGTATTCTATAAGCACGGTGATAGAAGAGCCGAAGAAGTTGGACAAGTACTCTTTCCACAAAAACCCTCTGTCTGTGGGTGAGCAGCTTCAGTCCCCGTTGCACTGCTACAGGACTTCAGATTGCTTCGGGGGAAATGTCCTGGGCGATTGTCAAGCGTACCTCGGATATTCGTTGGATATTTTCCCAAACTCTCCAGTAAATTTCTCGAAAATGTTTGGCGATTCTACGGGTGCGTTGCGACTCTGGGTGACCAAAGAAGCAGCGGAAACTCCAGAGAAGCTTGAGGAAGCTCTGAAGGGTCTACAGACTGGCAAGAAGAAGTTAGTCAGCTTGGAGAGCTCCATCGAACTACTCACATCTGGGAAGGTCTGCCCCGAGAGTTTGTGGCAGTACTTGGAGGGTCCAGACCCTTATCAGCCCGAAGTCCTGATCAAGCCATTCCTCGAGCTTTGTCGCAAGGAGAGACAGCGTTGTGAGCCCATCATCACCTCACTTCGGACTCTTGTCATTGCACAATCTATTTATGAAGGCCTCGACGGGGCAACTATCTCTTCCAGCATAGTTGAGAAAGGAATTTTCGATGCAAAATGGGCCGAACTTTACCATTCGAACGCGACAGTGAGTCACTCCGTGGTTTTCGGCTGCATCGCCATGTTTGATACTGGCAAACTCAATCTCGATACTGAGAGACTGGAAGAGGTCTTTGCTCTCTCATCTGGAAACTCTATCTATGCAGTCTCACGGATTCTCTCCGATCCAAGTATTGAGATTCCTGACCATGCTGTCAGACACATTTTCGGTAACATTGGGCGTCAGGGGGTTAGTCTGCTCGTTTCCCCAACCACCCGGCCTCCGTCTAAGCTGTTAGGCGAAGTGAGAGACGCAATCAAGTATGGGCCATTCAACGGCTGCCGCGAGGACAAGTTTCGGGAAACATCACTACGTTTGGATATCACAGGCCCAGAAACCCCAGCTGGCTATGGTGTCGAAGGTATCTACGATCACCAGGCGTTCTTCATTGATTCTAGAATAGGTGTTTATGATGCCGGCAGATGGATTGCAGACCTTGATATTCCCAAACTGCTCAGCTGGGAAGCCAGTCAACACAACGTATCAGTCGCGCGTGTGGTCTGCAGTATACACTCCCCAGAATCACGGGCTACAACACTGGAGAAGTTTGTCGCGGTGGATTCGTGGGAGGAGGTACTGGGGGCTCCTCCTGCGATTGGCCTTGTCCGAGCCTACAAGAACTGGCCCTCGAGGCTTGCGTTGAGCATTATATTAACGCAGAATCGAGGTTCAGATGAGGAAACTAAGATGGACATTGACGGAGAACTTGGCGGAGTTGTTCCAAATGTAGCAGTCCTGGACCATGGGGATGAGCTTTGTTGGACATGCGTCCATCGGCGCTTGAGGCGACGGGTGAAAATGACTACCGGAAGACCAACTTTCCTGGTTGCGTAGTATGCTTCCAAGTGAGCAGCACTTCGGAGGCAATGACTTTGTGGTTTCTTTATCTTTGCGGATTGAATTTGAGTCATCAAAATAATGCATTGTATTAGCGAGATTGTTGGATCGAAAAGCAAGATTGGACGACAAAATTTGGGATGGTGTGGTATTGCGGCTCTCCGCACCTATTCCATCAGTACATGAGACATGGTTTTAAAGAACACGAGACCCGAAACAATAACTTTCATTTCTAGCATATTTCTCAAACACAATTCTATATCAGCGATTAGTCTATGATCCCCCTATCCAACCAACATCTTCTGTCTATGTCTAATATCTAACGTCTATGATCTATCCAGATTTAGTAATATTATTAGTGCTCAATCAACATCTTCCGACGAGTTCCAAAATACTCCATGTTCTTGGTGTCCTTGTCATCTTTGATATACTTGACTGCTCCAAGACTCTCCGGATCTGCCTGGAACGCCAGATGGTTAAGGAAACCAGCAATCTGCCAATACCGCGTCAGTCTCAGTCTGGCAACTTGTGCATTCTACCAGGTAACTTACTGCTTTGGGAAACCATCTGCCACCTCCACTTTCGTACCAGGAGATATGGCCACCCATTGACGTCGTAAGTAGCACCGTGTTCGGGTTCTGCTTGAACTCTTGCCAGGGCACGGCTTCCTTGGGAGCCACCTGCATGCAACGCCAATCAGCCAAGTGTTTTCTTGATTTTTCCTCAAATTCAGCTCTCCACTTACCGGGTCATCAAGGGCATGAATTGCCAAAAATGGGATCCGAATAGCCAGCACGGAGTCGGAAGATGAGGCATCGCGATAGTATGCCGACTCGGTTGGGTATCCCCAGATTTCACACCTTTAGGTAAACTATGTTAGCCAGTATCTTGAGGTCATAACAGCGACGTCTAAAACTTACTCCACTAGGCGATCGAATTCTTCCATACTCTTTGCTTTTACAACGGCTTCGATATCAAGATGTTCTTCAAGAATATGTCTATGCTTCTTCACATAAGCAACGAGTGCATCTACTGCGAGTTAGCATATTGCCGCAAATGTCAGCTCGACCCCGTTACTCCATACCTTTAACTATATTCAAATAGTTCTTCCCCAAGTACTGGCCACTGAGAAGAGTGTTAGAGAGCTCCAGGTTGTACGGGTTTGAGCACACAACTGCGCCGCTGAGAAGGCAGTTCTCGCCTTCCTCGCCGCAGAACTGAAATTGTCAGCTTCAGCTCCCTGTTCTGGTGCTTCTTTGTGGCTTACGTTTGTGAGCATGTTTCCTCCCAGAGAGAATCCCACTCCATATAGAGGCCTGTTGGGGAACCTCCCCTTCAACCATTTCACGAGCTATAGGAGTCTGTCAGTTCCTCAACTCCCCTTGGGGAGAGACATGGATGGACTTGCCTGGCGAAGATCCCAGGTGGCCCGCCCATTGTACAAGAAGCGGCTGGTCAGCTCGCTCTTGGCGCACCCTCTTGAATTGATCACACAGGCCTCCCAGCCTGCCTCAACCAAAGGGGCAACGGCATGTCTCAAGTACACTTCATGCGACCCTCCAGCAACGCCGTGCATGATGATAGCCATGGGCTTGTCATCTTCGGACTCGAACTGCTTGAACTCCTCCTCGCCGAAATACGTGGTGCGCCGAAACAAAGCTGCATCCTCCCCCTCGTATTCATCCACAACAAAATCGACGGCAAAGGTGCCGACGAACGTCTCGTGGTCGGACTCGAAGACTTTGCGCTTGTAGTAGATCTTGGGGCCAACTGGCTTGGTGGCTGACCAGAGGGTCTGCATGTGCCCATTGAGCAGCAACGGGTTCAGGACACATGGCGGTGTGGTCTTTTCGACGATCTTGAGGAGATCGGTCTTGGCCCCTTGCTTGTCATGGACGACGCGAGGTTGCTTCGCATGGGTGAAGCCGATGTTTGCGTAGCCCAACCACTCCATTGTGACCGGTTGAAAGAAGCAGCGTGATTTGGTAAAGATAACGACTGGCAAATCAATGAAACGGCACACTCTAAATGACAGGTCACACCAGACAGCTCAAGCAAGAGAGAATGCAAATTCCAGCAAGAAAAGGAGGATTGGCGTGGAATCTGACTAAGCTGATATTCCCACTTGTTTGTTGAGCCGAGGCACGTCTAAAACAAGCTAAATCCGCCCAGACTTTAAAGTGCCTGATGAATTAGGTGGATCACAATTTCGGTCGCGAGCCATGAATTGATATTGATATTAAATACAAAAATAGATCCTGCAGGGCTCTATCCGATTGGTCTTCGTTCATTAAAGTCTACAAATCATCAACGCACTGCATTGAAGAAGAATCAGTTGGCGGCTACCTCGACACACCTTGCCCCTCTGCCTACCCTACACCACCAAACCCAACCGGATCATTCGGAATTAACTCAATAAAATTAGAGAAAGGCGTGACCTAGCATCTGGAAAGAGGCGAACAGATTAAATTTCCTTCGGAAGTTAACGGGAAAATCTGGTTAACTTAGCCCTGATGAGTTGGTGAGCTTTAAAACCAAAAGTCGATATTGACATACTCCTTACCCGTGCTTATGACCAATTTTAGGTGCCACTTTCCCACAGTCACTTTATAATATATTCCGCAATGTCGTGCCTATGCATCTTACGTGATATAAAGCAGCTGAAAATATTGCAATACTACTGGAACAGATATTTAGTTTCTATCTACGTCTCGGTATCATCCAATCGGTAGTTCTATGAAAGAAAGGACAGTAAGGGCTTAGCTTCCATGCAATAGCCACGCCTTAGTTGAGGGCTCAAGGTGATCAATTCAGGTAATTTTCTCGACTAATATTTGAGATGGAGCCCAGTTGGATCGCCAAAATGCTAGAAAAGAAGAGGTAGCAACACGTATGCGACATTGTCTGACGCGAGTGTCTGAGAAACTGGCTGTATGTTGAACCATGACCAACACCAAGTGAATCCATGCCCTGGTTATGGAGTACAACGTCGTGATTAAGTTCAACTTTATGTGTCTATTCATTCTAGCGACATTGATACACCCTCTTCCGGTGTGTGGTCTGCTGTAAGATGGTCAATTAATAACTGTCTTGATGATCTCAAGTTCAAGGGAGCGAGTGGGGAGAAGGGCGATAACTAGTGGTAATTAAACAGCCCCCTTGGCAAGCCACGCACTAGTTATGCTTATCAATCATAAGCCAATTAAATTTCGTTGCCATTGTCCTCAAGCCCCTGAGCTGGTCGAAAATCTGAGGATCGGACGTTCCACAACGGCATACCCCAGGGGCCCAGAGAGTTGCGTCGATCTGGGGACACAGTCACCTCGGATAACTTGATATTTTCTGGAGACCTTGCACTGATACTGGCCGACGGGCGATCTGTGTGAGGCTCGTATTCCCACTCGCTCGACGATCGTATCCCTAGCCCATCTACTCTTGCCGAGGCGTGCTTCATCACCCATCGGCCCGCCACGATGCCCTCTATCATCGAGAGGCACGAACCTAAGTACTTTCGAAACCGAGCAGTCTTTGTCCATTGTGATGATGCAAGCGGCATTGAGGAACGGGCTACCGGTTCCAACTTTTATGATGCGTCTGTCAACGAAAATTATCTACGCAAATCCGAGTTGATTGCCAGACATCTCAGCCAAATTGGTATCGGAAAGCGAGTTTAATCCCGGCTCCCATTCCGATACTGAATTAAACTAATAAGGTTGAACTTTAGGTTCCACTGGATTCTCTTTGTCGTCACTGGTTTAGGATGTACGTATCGAACCCCTTAATTCGATCATTGCCACCGTCCCTTGTTAGGGAATCTGCACAACGGGCCAAGCCAAATTGACTTGATGTACTTCTATTCTAGGGTGCGTGGACAATACATTTTCTCAAGGCATCACTGCCATCCGTCCGGCCGTTGCAAACGAATTCACAGACGTTGGTCGACTGAGTTATAGTTCTATTGCCTATTATGTTGGACTAATAATAGGTGCTTGGTTTTGGGGCACTGGAGTCGACTTTATTGGAAGGAAGCCGGCTTTCAATGCTACACTTTTCTACGGGGCCATCTTCGCATGCGCCTCTGCCGCATCACCCAACTTTTTGACCTTTTGCTGTCTGTGGGCTGTCATCGGGACAGCAGCAGGGGGCAACGTGCCTGTTGACAGCATCGTGTTTCTGGAGTTTATGCCGCAGAGCCATCAATGGTTGCTTGTCACACTATCAGGCTGGTGGAATTTTGGCCAGGTTATTGTCTCGTTGGTGGCGTGGGTGTTCCTGGCCAACTTTGCCTGTCCCTCTAGCCAAGCACCCTGTCCAAGATCAGACAATATGGGATGGTAAGAGTCACTTTTCCGGACCTCGGTTTATTTTCAAGGCTGACCGCATCTTTTCTCCGTGTCGCTAGGCGCTATGTCATGATTACGCTTGGTAGTCTTGCGCTGGCCTTTGGCATCATTCGGATTTGGGTTTTCAAGATTCCAGAGTCTCCCAAGTACCTGATTTCCAAGGGTCGTGATGCCGAAGCTGTCGAAGCAGTAAACTACGTTGCGCGATACAACGGGAAACCGGAAAGCCTGACGATAGAAATGCTCCAAGAGATAGATAGACTCACTGCTACCAACGACGGCTTGGCTGAGACCTCCGGTAACAACCAACCCATTGCTAGTTCTAGTTCTGTTGTGCCGAGTCGGGGAAAGTTGTCATACAGAGACATCATTAAGGAGAGTTTCAGGGACTACCAAGCTAGGAATTACCGAAGCCTCTTCTCGGGACGCAAGATGGCACAGCATTCGGCCGTAACCTTTCTCATCTGGCTAACGATTGGTATTGCTTATCCACTCTTCTTTGCGTTCATCACCTCATATATTGAGGCGCATTCCAGCTATTCAGCCGACACATCTTTCAACCATACCTATATGGTGTACTGCATCGTTTCGGCTGTTGGGGTCATTGGCCCTATAACAGCTGGATTTGCGGTCGAGTCGCGATTCGGCCGAAGATACATGATGGCTGGCTCAGCTGTTCTGACAGGGGTATTCTTATTTGCTTACACGACTGTCAAGTCTGAAGCAGCGAACATTGGTTTCCAGTGCGCAACAGCTATCCTTGGAAACTTCGGTATGTTGTTTTTCAATAAATTTCTAGTCTAAAGTTTAACAATAGCTAACTGGGAACTGCGACAGAGTACGCCGTAATGTTTGCATTCGCCCCCGAGTCATTCCCCGGACCGATCAGGGGCACGGGAACCGGCATAGCTGCTACGCTGCTCCGTCTTGGTGGCTTGGCTGCGTCCTTTATCTCTACTTACGCAGGATATACCGTCGTACCGATATATGTAAGTGCGGCGCTGTGGGTTGTGGTCGGACTCTTTTGTCTTGCCTTGCCGTACGAGACTCATGGGAAGGCCTCAATGTAGGGCTCAGACGATGAAAACTATGTGGTAGAACGTGGCACAAAAATGTTCCCTCTAGCTGTTTGGGGTATCCGAGCTTTTTTTTCGCATTATATGTCGTTGAGAATGATTGGCGAGTGCTAAATAAATATGTTATGATCCCCCCTTTGTTCGATATAGTATGAAGTTATGAGAAGTTCAGAGCTATAGAAAGATGAATGAAGTGAGCATTTGTGAATACGAACTGGAGGCTGCCAAGTAACCTTCATTGCTTCCCATCGGATATTTCTCCGCCAGAACATGGGGTAAATGCCAAGGAAGTTGCACAGACGCAGATCTCCACGCCATCAGCATTTCCCCGTGGGACCGAAGCGAACTCATCCACGCCCGGTCAAGAAAATCCCACCAATGACGCCGTAAGATTTTCATTTTTCATCTAACATTCTTGAAAATACAGAAGCGCTCCAAAGATTTGATTCCCGAACAACTCAACCCTTGCAACGCTGTGTCCAATATCCGGATCCGCCATGTCCCACATTGTTCTTGGCTGTTCTCTGGCATCACTGTGTTATTGGATTGATGATCCCATGCACCATGCTTAAACTAAGATAAAGTATGCTCCACCGTAGAGGAATTTTGACATCCCGGTAGAACACATGGGAGGGGGCCCGAGTACAAAATCAGACCGCTGTCGAGATAAGCGATCGGCTTGGTGCTGCCAAATCTCTCGCCTTAACTTTCTGTCCCCCTTCACTAAATTACTTGAGAATGCGTCTCTCAAGCTTGATTTCTATCTTCGCAACAGTTACGACAATTGGAGTCGTAAACGCCGTCAGTCTTCCCCCCGATGTCCCTAGAGATGTCGTAGCGTTTCGCGAAACGCATCCATATTCGGCTCCAGATCATAAATGTAGGAGGAAAGTGACTATCCGACCATCAGCCCACGAGAAAGATGATATCTCAGAAGAGTTCAAGAAGGGAATCCTTAAGGCCAACAATGGCGGTACACTCTACTTGGCCAAGGACAAGACGTATGTGATTGGCAAGGTTCTGGACCTGACGGGCTTGAACGATGTTCATGTTCATCTGGAGGGTGAAATCAAAGTGAGTCAGCGCACGATAGCATATTAAGACTGTTTAATCTAACTGACGACCATTCCACAGTTCACAAATGACGTTGAATACTGGCAACAGAATGCCTGGTATCATCCGTTCCAGAAGTCCATAATGTTCTGGAAATGGGGAGGTAAAGATATTAAGATATACGGAGATGGGGTAATTGAAGGTCAAGGGTATGTCTAATTTCAGAGCTGAGAATCTCTTCCAGCGGAAGAAATGCCTGGTTTGATGCTAACAATAAGATGTCAGGCAACGCTGGTGGAACGAATTTGACCAGGGGATTGGCTCGTGAGTTTGCTGTCACTATCACGACGTGGAAGGACTTTATACTGAAAGGACATGAAAACTATAGGATTCTCAACCCCGATAATAAGTACTACAGACCGATCCTATTTTACGCTGAGAACACTACCAACCTGGAGGTCTCTGGTATTCATCTCAAGGAT